CTTTTCATTTGTCTTAAATTGTAAAAAAAAAAAAAAAAAGGGGTCAGTAACTGTTAAAAACCATTAGATATTTTTAACTTTAAAATGTCACCCCTACTGGCCAAAAAAGTCTTCTCCAACAAACTTAAAGTGGCCCATGGGCCACCAGTTGATAACCACAGTTTTAGCAGATTGTTGCAGCTCTGAACACATTTAATTTGGTGAACAAAGACATAAAAGTGGCTCGTTTGATCGTAAAGGTTGTAGACTCCTGCACAAGCATATTTTAAATACTTCTAACAAGAACATGCTAACTTTCAGCGTTTTATGTTTTTTTTACTGTTTTAATGTGAATAAATGTGCACTTTCTTCATTATGTTGCAGCCCTCTTTGTTGTAAATGTGCACATCTTTTGGCTTTTTGATATGCTTTGCATATAAAGCTAATCATTTAGGCATCTTTTGGTTTATGGCTGTTTTGAAGCTTCTATGCTGAATACAAATTTAACAGAGGGCACAAAGTTGGGGCAGCACGGTGGCGCAACTGGTAGAGCTGCTGCCTCTCAGCGAGCAGGTCCTTGGTTCAAACCCCGGTCCAGGGGCCTTTCTGGGTGGAGTTTGCATGTTCTCTCCGTGCATGCGTGGGTTTTCTCCGGGTGCTCCGGTTTCCTCCCACAGACCAAAAACATGCATGTTAGACTGATTGGTAACTCTAAATTGTCCCTAGGTGTGAGTGAGAGAGTGAATGGTTGTTTGTCTCATTTGTCTCTATGTGGCCCTGTGATGGACTTGCGACCCGTCCAGGGTGTACCCCGCCCCTCGCACAGTGATTGCTGGACATGGGCACCAGCGACCCCCGTGACCCAAAATGGAATAAGCGGGTAAAGAAGATGGATGGATGGAGGGCACAAAGTTTAATTACTTGAGTTATGAACATGCTGTTCTCAGTGAGTAATAACTACTGTAAGATAAAAATAATGATTTGGTTGATGTCAAACTGTTTGTTTTTTTAACACGCATAACACTATTTTATCTAATGGCCTATTTATGATAACAACATAAAACTTTTGCTTCTGTCTAATTTGTGTCATTCATCACCTGGAAGAGGTCATATGGTGCTGATTTGGGTCATTTTACTTGATAAAGGTATTTAATATGTATCTGTTAATACTATATATATATCTATTATTGGTTGTTTTATTTGATTTTCTAAAAAAACAAAATGTGAAAATCACTTCTAACCGGCGCTTAGATCTCATGAACAAGTTTATCCATTAGGCGCCCGAATAAGCCAAGTCCTGAAAGATGCTGCCATCTGCTGGATGTTATGAGTCATTACAACATGGACATTTGCATTTTAAAAAAGTTTGAAATGCATTTCTGAGCTGTCTGTTCCTATTTTTTTTTGTTCTTGTTCTTATATATTTTTAAAGCAAAATAAAAGAATATAGACATAAAAATGTAAAAAAAAAAAAATCTTTTAAGTTTAGTGAGCAGAGGGGACGAGCAAATCGTTTCTTCCTGGACTTCAATAGTTTCACTTTCCTTTCTGTCAACTACTACAGAAGAGCCAGGATCGTCGAAAGAGCAACACCAAAGAGGAATCAAGTTGTTTCCAGATCCCAGATTTATATCTTCAAGCGCATCAAGAAGGAATAATTTAATCTTCAGGTCGAGAGGAGGAAGAAGTTTCTGTTGAATGACAGAGGAGGTTGTTGTTGTTTTTGTTTTTTAAAAACGTGTTGTAGACAGACCGGTTTGGTCACTTCGTATTTTATATATGAACTCCATACATTAAGAACGACTTTTGATTTTAGGTGTGAAAATGGCTTCAGAAGTTTCACCGAGCACTAACCTGAAAGAAGGTGGGATTTATTTTCAACTCTTTAACTTTTCATTATCGCAAAGTTGTTGTGGGGGAATTTTCTTATCGATTAGTCTGAGGCTCAAAGTGGGTCAGAGAAACACCCAGATCTTCTGAAGTTTGCAAGACAATCGGCCTCAATCGTGCTGATTCTTTCACTTAAGACTCGTGCTGTTGAAAGAGAGGAAGCTGTGGGCTTAGATAATAGTCGCAGTCATCGCAGGCTGCTGCGCAGGAATGAAGTCTGACGATACTCAGTCACGTGACCGTGGTGCGTGTCTTCATGCAGCGGAGGAGCTGGTGCTGTCCCTGAGTGAAGCCCTCAGCTGTGGAGACTCTGACCAGGCGACTCAGCTGTGTGAGAGGCTTTGCCAGCTCTCTGTTCCTGTGTCAGTGAGCATCAAGAACCAGGTCTACCCCCAGGACCCCATCAGGTACAACACAATGAAAGAACACCAAAGTCCATGCTCACTAATCCAGGTATAAAATCCAACAGTGCTCAGTCAGTCTTTCACAATGAAAGAAGTGTGTGTGTGTGTGTTACCTTGTAAGGCCCATTTTTCCAACACATACTAGTTGTGAGGACCCACTGCTCCTTATGGGGCCCAAAGGTTTAGTACTAAGTGAATTGAGGATGGTGATGGAGATGTGAAAGGTCACAGATGTTTTTCACTTATTAATGAAAAATGTTATATAACTCATTTTACCGTGTGTGTATGCATGTTGAGGGTTGTTATGACTGGACTGAGAGCTACATAAGCACGGAGTCTTTCACCCGAATAAGCAAGGAGGCTGCAAGAGTTGTCTGATAACATTATAAACAGACACTTCCTCATGCTCTCTTTGAGCAGACTTGGAGACAGAGCACCATGTAAGCATTTTGATGCTTGTATTTCAAATCTGCTTCATTTTGCAAGATTAAACCTGGGATTAAGAAAATGCTGTACCTCTCCTGTGTGGCATATTTATTTATTGAGCTACTCTACTGAAAGGAGAATATTCAATTATCGTAACATTTTGGTCCGTCGAGCGCCACCTCGACATCCGATCTCGGATCCACTAGGAAGAGCTGAATCGTGCACGAGGGGAGAAGTTGGGTTTAGGGTTGGGTATGTACTGGTAATGGTTAGGTTTAGGGTAAGAGTCAGGGTTAGGCTATAGACATGAATGAAAAATGAATGGAAGTCAATGCAAAGTCCACATAAAGATAGCAAGACAAACCTGTGTGTGTGTGTGTGTGTGTGTGTGTGTGTGTGTGTGTGTGTGTGTGTGTGTGTGTGTGTGTGTGTGTGTGTGTGTGTGTGTGTGTGTGTGTGTGTGTGAGCGCTCCTTGGAGCAAAGTTTATTTTTAGAGGGTGTTTCTTTTTCGTTTATGGGCAAGAAAGGCGTGCACTTTCTTACTGGTAGCAGTAAAAACAAATCTTATCAATCGGGTTGTGCAACCTTTATGTTTCAAATAGACTTTTTTTTTTTTTTTTAATCATCTCGCCAAGTAAAAGTTTGTAAAGAGCACACAGTCTTGAATCACGTTAAAGATGATTTGATTATTAAAAATAATAATAATTCTGTGGAGATAAACTCAGTACGTGGGATAAAGATGGGTTTAAATGAGTTATTTGATTAAAAAATAACAATAAAAAAAGACCTAATGAATGAAAATCCAGTGCATTCCAAACATTCATCACATGTGTTAAAACTTTCCTGGTAAACTCTAAACTGATGTAGAAATGTCGACAATTTCTGTGATAACTTTTCACATTGTTCATTAACAACTACCGAGGACATTGATTTTTTTTTTTTAAATTTATATTTTTAAAAGGCTACAACTTTTTACATATTGGCATCATTTGAGAATTCTTTTAAATCTTTTTCAATTAATAGTATTTGTTTTAAAATGAAACTTTAAAAAAAAAAATATATATATATATTGTTAATCTAATATGTTCTGTTCTGTAGGTTGACTGTTGGTGTGGAGGATGCCCAGTCAGAGGCCTACATCCCAGTGAATGTCATGGTTTCTTCTGGCATGACTATTGCACAACTTAAAGAGGAGGTGCTGAGCTGACACATTGTTTTTAACATTTTAATAAACTAAAGCTAAAAACAGAGGGTTTACCTAAAACTTTTGCACAGTACTGTATATAAAATGATTTAATGAGTTGTACTTGATGGCCTTCGCCAAAAGTGATTTTATTTTTTGCACATTTTAAACAACTTACGAGTGCTTTTTCTTTTTAGTTATTCAAAATATTCACATTTGACTGTAAGAAAACAATAAAACACAAGTAAGATGAGATACAGAGACCCACATCAGTTCTGTTTGGGTTTCATGCTGTGTTTAACTCAAAAGCCAGGCAGCGGGAGGAACGAGTCTTAAAAGACTCAGCAGTCTTTATATTAAATGACTGGTGTTTAGATGTTTAGTAGATCATACAAATGTCACGAGGTATTTGAAACCCTAAACTAAATCTGTGATTTTAAGATTGACACATTGCAGAACTTCCCCTCTCACTGACAGATCAGCAAGGATTTTGGGTTCCACCCTTTACTGCAGCGCTGGGTGATCGGTAAACGACTAGCTCTGGACCAGGACTCGTTATACAGCCACGGGATCCGTATGGATGGGGATCAGGCTTTCCTGTTCATCCTCTCTGCTCAAGCTGCTCATCTCACACGGCAGCAGTGCATGTCGGACCTGGAGGAACAACGTTTGACGGGTCAGTCTGCCACACAAACACACTCGAGTTGAGTTTGGAGGAACATTGGATCATGTAGTTGTTTGACAGCTATAGCCACAGTGCTAGTTTGTACATGACAACATACCATTCCATGCAGTGGTGTAGTCTACATTTTTGTAGTGGGTATACTGTGCTTAGAAACCAAAGTACACAGGTTAGTAATAGTACAATGTAATTGTCGATTTATTTAGATTTTTAAGCATATTGAACATTTCCAAATTTCTCTGATGCTTATATTTGAATAAATGCACAACAAACTACACAGTTGGTTTTGTATTAAAACCACGTTATAGAATGTATAAAACCGTATCAAAGCAAAACATGTTCAAGTATTAAGTAGAAGTACAGAAGTATACAATAGGCCTGTCTAGGAATGTGGAATATGGCATAAAATTCATATCACGATATGTATTGTGAAGGGTGGCGATAACGATATATATCACAATATGTTTTGGGTATAAAACATAATAGGAATTTTTTTAAAAGCATAGGGTGTCCTTTTGCTACCATATATTTTGAATTAAAAAAAATTCCACTACTAGGTCCAGAGAGTTTTTAAATAATAAACAAATCAAGTAGGCTTCTTGCTTGTAGTGCAAAACAGTGCAAAAATATATACAATGTAGTTTTAGCCATATGTTTTAAACAAAGGAATATGTTGTTAACTTAACAGTTTCCAGTCCTCTCACTGAAGAAATGGACAGCAACAGAGCATTTTACACTGAAACACTTCACCCTCCAAACCTCTAGTTGGCGACTCCTTCCGCTTTAATGGAGAGCTGACACAAAATGAGTCTGTGGCTTTGACCAGAGGGTCTCGCTGTAAAATCACACAACACAGCGTTTCGCAGGTTTCTCTAAAGCTGACCAACGCTTACTTTAACTTTCGACGGAAAAAAAAACAAAAAAACTTTTGACGGAACACAGCGTTTTGCGCATGCGTCTGGATATGGCAACACTACGGCAAGCCGGCCGTAGTTAGCTTGTAGCTTCGCTACTTAGCTCTCGAAGAAAAGACTTTAACGCCACTTGCGCAGTTTTCAACAAAAACAAGTAACGATTAAATCAGACAGCTCTGATTTTATACTTGAACACCATTTACGCACAGTTTAACAAAAAAAAGTAATTATTAAACTGACAACTCTGATTTTACATCAGACACAGCATTACTGCGGTTAGCCGGTAGAAGACAGATCTCTATCGTAGGCTAAATTTCTATCATTTCTACCGTATACCGTATATATCGCACATTCCTAGGACTGTCGCGATAAACAATAAATCAGTTAATCGCATGATAAATGAAAATGATCAACCTCATTTTCATTTATCGGCTTTATTGTTTCTTCATGTCTCTCTTCTACTGAAGACACCAGATGGCAAAAGGATCAACTCCAGTGTTTTTCACTGACCCCTCCCTTTCTCTTTTCTCTTTAAAATCCGTTTTAACTGTCCTAAATCGTGTTTTTGGACAGTTAAAAGCAGCTAAGCTGAGAAGCTAAGCTACAAGGTAATGTAACGGGCCGACCTCGGTGAAAAAACCTCTGTCTTGTCGAAGCTCCAAAATTCATGGTTGATACCCTTGCCTTCGTGTAAAAAGTTGATTTTCTCTGCGAAAAGAAGCTGAGAACTTGTTTACTGATTTTTTTATTAATAGCTTTGCGTGAAAAATGCTATGCTAAAGAGCACAAACCACACGGAGTGTCTGCCATTTTGAGAACCGAAGAGAGACAGCCCATGTCATGTCAAGGGGCCTCCCTCCCATTTTTCTTAAAGAGACACGTTGCTCTCCCTCACTGTCCATCCTTTGGTTCAAACAGTCTTATACTGTCATCTGGTGGTTGAAAAAGGTACTACACACAAAAATTAACCTACATTTCTTCTTAAATTTGACAATAATGACTAATTATTGTATATTTGACAATAATTGCTAATTATTGTCAAATTTCAACAATATTATTGTTTATCACAATAATTTCTGAGACAATTAATCACCCAGCAAAATGTGTTATCGTGACAGGTCTAGTAAACAATAATTTGCTGGATAAGTGAATGTAATAAACAAGCGCTGCATACATATGGATATGTTTAACTGACATTTAACGTATCAATGACACGTGCCTAATGATATTTCATGTATCAGTGGGCACTTTTGAATGGGTATACCGAAATTCTTAAGCTTTTCTAGTGGGTATAAACGTGCACTGTCAGATGGTGTCAGAGATTGGCGCTCTCTGAGTTGTTTCTAAAAATAGAAACATGCTTAAGCAGGATTACTGGAAACGTTTCTGTGAGATGGTTTTATCAAATAATTAGTAAACAAATTAAATAAATGATAGCGTTGAACATAATAAATATATTTTTTATATAAGAAAGTTCACCAAATGATACAATTTGGTTTGTAAGATACAACATTTTGATAACGAGTAGATCAGATCAGCTGAACACTGAAACTGTTTCCAAATTCTCTCTATTTTAGGTATCATGAAGTCAATGGTGTTAGTTTCTAGAGGACCAGGTGGTGCTAGTGCAAAAACACCTCCACCCCTCGAGACTTCTCCTCCCACTCTTATTCCTAGAAACCCAGCTGCTGTTAAACCTGTGCTGCCTCCTAAACCTCAGGTGAGGACACCGACAGAAATATTTGGCATCAGCATCAATTTATATATATATATATATCCATCCATCCATCCATTATCTTTACCCGCTTATTCCATTTTGGGTCACGGGGGTTGCTGGTGCCCATGTCCAGCAATCACTGTGCGAGGGGCGGGGTACACCCTGGACAGGTCGCAAGTCCATCACAGGGCCACATAGAGACAAACAACCATTCACTCTCTCACTCACACCTAGGGACAATCCAGAGTTACCAATCAGCCTAACCTACATGTCTTTGGTCTGTGGGAGGAAACCAGAGTACCTGGAGAAAACCCACGCATGCATGAAGATAACATGCAAACTCCACCCAGAAAGGCTCCCGGACCGGGATTTGAACCAGGGACCTGCTCGTTGAGAGGCAGCAGCTCTACCAGTTGCGCCACGTGCTGCACTAGATTCTAAACAATGTTTCTAAACACTCTAAACACTTTAAAAGAGCACAGAATGTCATGATTTTCCTCTCTCTGCCTCCACTGCTCTCAGCCACCTGCAAGCGTTCTTGGCCACGCCCACTTCTCCACTCTGCATGAGAACAGAGTGATCAGCAGCAGCAGGAAGTTTATCCTGCAGTACGGGCTGCACAAAGGTGCAACAGGTGCTAAATAATTAAAAATGATTTATTTTAAATAAAAATTTAATGTTGTTTTTGTATTGAACACTTTTTGAATAAAAATGTCATGCTGATCGTGTGGCTCATCCATCAATCAGCCAATTGTGTATCGTCCAATCTTCTTTTGGAAAACCGCAATAGAGCAAGTCTGCGATAAACAAACCCCGAAGTAGTGAGGGACTACCATATATGTGTTTACATGCATTTGCATTTACCATAACTTAATTTTAGATCTTGTTGCCACATAAGTATGGGTTCACCCTTGACCTTTTTGCTTTTAAACACTGTATTTTCCTTTTAAGCAACCATCAGTCTCAGTTTTCAAAAACCAAGAGTCAGAATCCTGTATAGGACATACATCGGCCGACCCTTCCCCCTTTTTGTGGCTGAATTACTCAAGATGCACAGTAAACTCCACACTTTTGGGCTTGTCAAGAAACATCACAGTAACTGTGTGTTTTTGTTTACGTTCGTAGTTGGGCTGGGCCTGTACATTGTGTACCTACATTAATAAACCTACACGGCCTGGATGTGAGATATGCGGAGGGGATAGGCCCGAGGACTACAAGGTACCAGACATATATCAGCCAGACCAGGAGGAAATCCAACGGATTGAACAGGAACAGCTGGCAGTTCTGCAGTATGAACTGGTAACTATGATGCTCATTAAAAGCCAAGCAGCAGGATGTTAGATGTTTGTGTGAAAATAACCATGGACTATTACATAGAACTATTATGAAGGAGCAGTTTAGTTTTATTGGAAATTGTTCCCGTATTTTGATTGTTCTAAGATTTTAATTGATCATGTTCAACTTTTATTCTCCATCTCTGTGTTGCACTCAATGTGATGAAGGCTCAGCAGGAGGAACGGAACCAGAACTATTTATACCTTTTGGCAACAGAAGACCAGAACCTTATCCTAAGCACCTCAGAGGCCGATTGTCCCATTTGCTTCTCCACTCTGATGCCAGGAGAGGGTGTTGTTCTCCGAGAATGTCTGCACACATTTTGCAGGTGTGGTAAAACATCACTTCGTAGCTTCATGCTAGGATGTAAAACAGCCCTTAGCTAAACTGGAGGTCTGTTCCTGAAGTTGTCGATGATGCTTGTGAGGTAATTTATACGACAATCATAGAAAGGTGAAGTTTCTGAACAAGATCAATAGAACAGGGTATGAGCACTTAAAGAGGATTAAGAGAAATTTGAATAGGGCGCCTGTTATTTCCCACATTTTATGTGGAGTTTTCCAAAATGTATAAAACAATATGCAGACAAATGTTTTATGTTTTTGTTTTTGCTCAGGGAGTGTCTAAAATCGACAATAGTGAACAGTCAAGATCCTGAGGTGTCCTGTCCGGACAACTGTGATAGCAAGTTACTGGACAGAGAGATCAAAGAGGTGAGTGAAAACAAAAGATGCGAATAAAACGAAAAAAATGTCATCAAACTCCAAATTGGAACAGAGGAAATTGATGCTAAATAGTTTAGCGATATGGGGCTTAAAATTATTAATTATCAGTTACGAGTTAAGCTCATAATATATGCATGTATTATGCAAATAACCTCATTGTGTGGGCACCAACTTTCTCTTGGAGAGGAAAAAATCAGTCTATTTACCCCAAATCAATGTAAACTTAACGTGAGTTCTTTTCTCATGTTTAAATAATATCTAATCAATTAATACACACAGATATGCCAAAATAATCACAAATTCAGTTGATTTTTATGTATTTTATTATGAAAATTAATAATCTGTGACATATAAGATGATGAAGATTATGCATAACAAAAGTTAACTGAATATCAAATTATGTTGAATCAGTGAAACTTAAAAGGCAGATTTTTGACTGGTTTCTGTTTGTGAAGTAGTTAAAATTGTGTCTAAGGTGAGCAGTAGTTTGTCTGATAAGTTGTGATGTAGGTTCACCAGAAAGGCACTGAAAAGTCTCTCTCCTATCAAGATGTAGATAGTCATAGCATGTTTCCAACAGCTGCTTAAATGGTACCAGCCTCCGATGTTCTGTTGACTGAGAGGCTGAGGTCTCCTCAAAGTTCACCTGTCATTGTTAGAGGGACGAGGGTCCATATGGTAGTCAGCTTGGGATTTACTACTCTGCTGGTTCTGGTCAGATTCTGTATCTTTCTCTCATCCTGAGACATCTGCAGAAAGGATGCTTCTCTCCTTTTTGAGGTCAAGTGCAGAAACGGTGTTTCTTCTCGCTCCCAGTTCTCTGTTGAAGTGTGTTGGCTTCGGAGTGTCTCTTCAAAGCGTGCGTTTCTCAAACGTTTTCTTAGAAGCGAAACTTACTGTTTGCGCTGAAACAGATAGGATTGGTCCATCTCTTCCCGGAAGAGGTGGTCCTAACTCTTGGCCTTGTTTTTTTCATAAAGGCCTATTAAATAAATCTAGAGTCCCTTTTCTCTGCCTTAAAAGTTTCCTTTCAAAAGAGAAAATAAGACAAATGTATCATCTTAAAGAAAAATTACTTAAAACATACATTCTCATGAATAAACATTCAGGTATGACATATTTTGAATCAAACTTAAAACATGCAATGTTTTACCAAAGGTGTAACTGTTCATCTCATGAAAATGAATGACATTAAACAAAAGGGTTCTTGTGGTGTTGTTTTCATGGGAACCAGTCTGGGAGAAATACTCCTTTTTGCTAAAGAAAGATATCAAAGTAGCGAGTTCGGATGTTTCAAAAACTCCGAGGTCAGTTGAACAAAAGCTCTCATTAAAACGATTTGCCTGTTTCATGGGAAATGAGTTCATATTGGCAGTGAAGTGACAGTTTTTTAATAACATTAAGCCAACTACGGAGTTTGTGAGCTGAGCTGAATATTTGTAAAACAATGTCTGTTCGTTCCAAAGGGAATAGATTAATCTTATTTTTAACAATTTCAAACACAGGAATGATATTTAAGGTGAGGTGAACTGTTTTCTGAGGTGATGTTCCCCTACAACAGACCACACGTTAATATAGCTTTTGCTGAAATATTTTATTTAACTTTGCTTAAAACTCACATCAAGACATGGACGATGTCTGACTTCAGATGAAAACTGAGAACGGACCGAGCTGCACAAGACAAGCTGCTACTGACCTGAGGTCTTACTGTCAAAAAATAAAACCAAACTCAAAGCTATTTATTTATTTCATTAAACTGTTTCCTTGGTATTCATTGGTGCATAAATAAGACGGACTCCCATGTTTATAGTCATCCATCTATTTTCTAACACTCCTCTTAATCCCAAAGTTAATTCTCAATAATCCAGGAAGAAATCCAACAATCTTCAGTCAGGTCATCTGGACGTTTTTTTTCTTTTTTTCGAGATGTTTCGTCCTTCATCCATAGGACTTCTTCAATCTGAGGAGCCACCAAAACAAATTGATTCCCACAAATGAAATACTCCATAGTAGAATAAAACAGTTTGCTGGTGCTAAGATGAACTCCGGGGGCCGCCCTCTCCCCCGGCAACTCTACGTTTTGTCACCATCCAGATGACCTGACTGAACATCGTTGAATCCTCTTAATTAATTTTATATAAGATGTTTTTATGTCTCTTATCCATAAATGTCACAGCCCAGTAATACATAGTTTTTCTGTTTTACTTGTGGTTCATCAGTTGCTCACAGAAGAGGAGCTCCAGCGGTTTATGGAGTTGCGCCTGAACGTCGCAGAGAGCCGCTCCGAGCACAGCTTCCACTGTCAGACTCCCAACTGTCGAGGGTGGTGCATCTACGAGGATGAAGTCAACGAGTTCCACTGCGAGATCTGCAAAGAAACCAACTGCATTCTCTGCCGAGTAACTTTGTCACATACATTTTCTGACAAATGTATTTTTTTCCTCCATAATAAGAGGAGCACAAAACATGATGGATGTTTTTATTATTATTCTTTAGGCCATCCATAAAGACATGAACTGTAAGGACTACCAGGATGACCTGCGGATCCGAGCACAGAACGACGAAGCAGCACAGAAGACAAAGCAGATGCTGGATGTAGGTCCAAAAGATGAGTGCAATGATTCAAACAGTGATGTTCTAACTTAAACACCCACTTTCAGTGTGGGGTTACGGAATGAACAGCAGCAGTTTTATTTTTATCTTTTCTGTTCATCGTAACCAGAAGAACAAAGCCCTTCCTGTATTGTGCTCCTAAAACAGGCAATTTTGATTGGTCGTTAAAGAAGCAATGGCTTTAAATTACATATTGAAAAAGTAAACTGTAACAGTGGCAAGCAAAACGTTGAATATTACCTTCTTAATGGTCCAGTTATTATCTAATCTAACAGCCTAAATGTGATTTATTTATGAATAAAAATGGGTCAACTACCTCTTAGTTCTTCGTTTACAACGAGAATCATTAAGGGATTTTATTTTTATTTTATTAATTTTTTTTATTGTGAGATGATTTAAGCATGTTTGTTGCCTATTAGCTTATCTTGTACTTTCAAGACTGTGTCCAATTACTGATAAGTTAGTTACATATTATATTAGTTACTCATCGGGATCTTGTTCATAACTTGGATCTTTTTTTAATGCTAATTTAAGTTTTATGTAGTTTCTCATGAAAATGTGATTGATTTTCTGTATAATTAAATGTTTTTTCTAAGCGTCACTGGATTGAGTCAGTTGGGTATGTTTTTTTTTACTCATATCTTTGCTAGCTTAGCCATCCTGTAAACAGTTTAAGGGTATTTGCTAAAAAATGATCTTCCAAGTTGTTTGGAGGTACTTTTTTGACAACTCCCTAACATTCCTTTTTGGTTTTGCTTTGCTCTGCCATAGAACTTGCTAACGAACGGAGAGGCCATGAATTGCCCACGCTGTGACATCATAGTCCAGAAAAAAGATGGCTGTGATTGGATCTGCTGTTTGATGTGCAAAACCGAAATCTGCTGGGTCACCAAGCAAGCTCGATGGGGACCAAATGTAAATATATAAGCAGATATCCTGATGCATGCTCAATAATCCAGGTATACATCTAACAAGGTGGAGTCAGGTCCTCTGGACAAATTCTTCTTTGTTGAAACGTTTTGTATCCAGAAGACTTCTTCAGACTGAGGAGCTGCAACAAACTCAGTCTTATAAGCAGCACCTTCTCATAGTGGATGAACCAGTTTGCTGGTGACAGATAAAACTGGTTGTTCACATGCAAAATGTGAGCAACTAGTTTTGGAACCCGTCCAGAGGACCTGACTCAGCCTTGTTTGATAAATGCACATGCACAAAACCAGGAAAAAAAAAAAAGTCACTTCATCGGTTCAGGTAAAGTGTTGTGTTTCATGTTTGAAGTGTGCATCTCATGTTTTTTTTTATTTATTTATTTACAGGGACGTGGTGACACATCCGGCGGCTGTAGATGTCATCTCAATTATCAGCCTTGTCACCCCAACTGCCAAAACTGTCACTGAGGCTACACTACAAAACTCACACGCAGTCTCAACATGCACTATATGAGCAAGTTCAGAGCAGATGTGATGCTTACAACCCCTGGCCTCTTACATTATGTATTTCTATTGCCCTAATTATGAAAAGCTGATCAAACTCCTTTGTTATAACAACAGATAATTCTGCCATACCATACACATTCTGATTAATATCTGCACGGGAAGGAACAAGCTGTAATTTTTAAAACAAAAAGAAAATTCATTGAGACTACTCAAGTCTAAATGTAGGATTAAAATAGATTTGTAATAGGACTCGGACCTCTGGGAAATATGAGACAGCACTGATTTCAGGTTCGATTCAAAATGGCAAGAAAATACTCAAACGTTACACAACTCTAGTGTAAAGATCTTCATAGTTGTTTTCTGTGCAGTGTTTAACTACAACCAAACAATGACAACTAAAAATATGTTTTAATCATAAAAAAAAAAGTCATTTTACAATTCATCATTGATCAATAAAACACTAGAGTAACTTACAAACGGATGAAACTACTGGAACTAAAGTGATGCCATTTAAATGTATATGAGCTGGAAGTATTCTGTTGTTGTAAAGAGTATATTTGTGCTTTGTGACTAAATGTTGGTTGATTGTTGGAATTGTGTGCAATTTGTTATTTGTCGATCTACGACCAGACTGGTGGAAGATCCTGTTTCCATTGAATGATTGTTCTCTTGAGGCACTTAAAGATATTGAAGTATAACTTAGAGCAGTGGTTCTTAAAAGTTTCTGCTTTGGCTCCACAAACTATAAGATGTACAGACTTATGACCCCGACTACTGTTGAAGTACACAAACACAGCTAATGAGCCATTTGACCACATGCCTTGTCAAATATAC